AACACCCACCCTTCTTAGGGTCATTCTTTTAGTCTTGATCACAGAGCAATAAATAAACGTCCTTTGGGACATTCCTGGAACAGAACATGATGGCACGGCTGACGGTTTTCTGGGGACCAGAGCTCCTGCTGACTCGTAGAACAAAGGCACACAGAACCCCAAAGGCTCCTCGTCTTTAAAAATGGAACAAGCTCAACAGTTCTTATTATAAAAGTCATATGCTAGTTAAAGGTACACTTTAAAATGGTTAATAGGGTAAATTTTATGCTCTGTGTACTGTACCACGATATTTTTTAAAAATTAAAACTGTAAGAATGGGGGGCGCCCGGGTGGCTCAGTCGGTTGCGCGGCTAACTCTTGATTTTTGTCTCAGGTCGTGATCTCAGGGTCCTGGGATAGAGCCCTGTGTTGGGCTCCCTGCTCAGGAGGGGGTCTGTTTCAGGATTCTCTCTCATCTCTGCCCCTCATCCCACCCCCGCTTGCTCTAAGAAATACATAAATCTTAAAAACAAAACAAAACAAAACAAAAAACCTGTAAGAACTGGACATACACAGTTCTCCAACCGCTTTTATGTGTTGCACTTAGCTGGGCTTTGTGGGGGCATCTTCCATGTCAGCAAATGCTGGTATCACAGCAGTACTTTACACCGTGGATGGTCTCTAATTCATGTCATTTCCCTTTACTGAGTATCTGGGAGCCCAGAAACGAAAACTGTGGGTCCAAGATATGGCTTCTGAAACACACGTCAAACCACCCACCAGAAAGTCCGTCTAATCTGTATCCTAATTGGCAGTATATCAAGTACATGCTTATTTCCCCACAATCTTACATCTCACCAACGATGGGCCTGGCTACTGGTAAATCCCTGTCAACTTGACAGTCAAAACCTAGTGTCTCATTTCCATGGAAGCCTGCAGATTTGTACAGGAGACCAAGGAGGGCAACCCGACTCAGCCTGGGGGCCGGCGAGGAGTCCCAGAGACAGTGCATAAGGCCTAGCTCAGCTCAGGGGGCCAAGCTTCCATGCCCGCCATCACTGCGCTGTTTCCCTCGGGGCACTGTGAGGACACCCACCCCGCGCCCACAGAGGGATAACTGTACAATGTTACAGCATCTGTCCCACCTCAGCCTCTCGAAACGGCTCCCAAACCGCTGAGTTTATTCTTCTCATTTACAAAGACGGTAGCCTGTACCACTTACAAATGAGGTTGCTAATTCAGTGCGGCAACGAATTAAAAGAGTTTTTTCTTCCTTGTTTTTGAGCCTCCTCCTTCGATATGGTTTGAGTCCAAAAATAAAAAAAAGAGTAAAGTCCTTTGGGAACAGGCCTTCAAGGCAGTATTAAAAACTAAAGTAAATGATTGAGTCCATTTATTTTTAAAAATTTACAGCCAAGGGGCGCCTGGGTGATTCTGTTGGTTCAGCGTCTGCCTTTGGCTGAGGTCATGATCCCAGGGTCCTGGGATTAAGTCCCACATCAGGCTCTCTGCTCCACGGGGAGCCTGCTTCTCCCTTTACTTTCTCCTTCTGCCTGCCACTCCCCCTGCTTGTGTGCACTCACTCTCTCTCTCTGTCAAATAAGTAAATAAATAAATCTTAAAAAAAAAAAGATTTACAGCCAAACTTAGAAAGACTGCACTAATTCTGCTAAAAAAAAAGAAAAAAAGGGCGGGGGACATGGAAACACTTTACTATGAATTAGCCAACTTACAAAATGCAAGGTGGAGAACAAGTTCTTTATGAAGACAAATCCCAAGTACCTTTACAGGGGTCCAGGAGTACTGTTGTAGCTCCCGTGTCTAAAAGCATCACATTCTCAACTCTGCTTTTCTAACCCCTGCAAGTCCTCCAAACTTCCATGGGCAATCTGATTTCTAGGAACAGGCAGCCTGGTCCCCCCCAGACCTCACCCCGGCCCTGGAAACTTAACGTCTGTGCGCAGTCATGCTCTACTTTAGCGTAAAAAACGAAAACGCAGTGGCACAACACTTTATTTGGAACAGAAGCATAGCTGTCTGCTAATGATCTACATATTGTTGAAAAAAAAGTCTTCAAATTCACTTCATAAATCAAATGAACAATCCCTAGTAATACAAGAAGGCATCTTTTTAAGTTTTTGATGCTGGATTCATCCTTGGCCAAGAGATGGAATTCTGTGTGTGTGCACATGCTTTCATCCTTGGCCAAGAAATAGAATTTTATGTACACACACACACACACACACACACACACACACACAAATCAAGTCCAAACTGGGATTGCCTGCAGGGAGACAGATCGGCCAAGCTGACTTCACATTTTGCTATTTGACTCACTCCTGTTTGTAAAGATGGCATGAGGCATGGGTCTTACCTTTTCACTACCAGCTTCAGGGTTTTATGAGACCCCTTCACCAGGCAAATCGCTTCCTGTCTAAACCCTGAGAGACCGATGTCGTTGATGCCGACGATCTCGTCCCCAGCCAGTAACTTGTCCACTGCCGCAGCTTTACTTCCTTCTTCAATCTGCAACAAAGAAGTATGTCTCATGAGTTTCCAAACAAGCGAAGCAAGCGCCCAGAACGCGGCCAGAAACAACACAGCTGTGACATATGCGGCCCGCAGGCTCTGTGACGGGCTTTGGGATCAGCATGGACCCCTCCTGGGCCCTGAGGCTGCACTGATTCCTATTTGCGGAACAAGGGACACATCCCTCACCCAGGGCCACCTCTGCACGGACGCGGGCTACCATTCACCGAAGGAATAGGAAAGGGCATGTGTGCTCAGGAACACTCACAGCCTGAAAGAGTGGATCCAAAGATACGGGGGTTCGTCTTCTGGATTTCCTTTATCCAAACAGTAAGGATGGATTATTTTCGTGATTTACTATTTCTCGTACATTAATCCCGTACCTGCATTTCTGTAACTGCTTCACTGAGATAGAATTCAAATACCAGCAAGCTCACCCATATAAATATACAAGTGAACAGCTATTCAGTATATTCACAGGCCTGTGCACAAACATGTCCCATTGCGGAACACTTCCCTAAGCCTAGAAGAAACCTGGTAGCTGTGGGCGGTCACTTCCTGATCCCCTCTAGCCCCGGCACCCCCCAACCTACTACCTGTCTCTACGCATCTGCCTATACTGGACAGCTCATATAAAAAGAATCCTACAGGGCGCCTGGGTGGCTCAGTCGGTTAAGCGTCTGCCTTCGGCTAAGGTCATGATCCCAGGGTCCTGGGATCAAGACCCACATCGGGCTCCCTGTTCGACAGAGAGACTGCTCCCTCTGCCCCTCCCCTCATGCTCGCTCTCTCGCTTGCAAAAATAAATAAATAAAATCTTAAAGGAAAAAAAGAATCCTACAACATGTGGCATTTCGTGACTGGTTTCTTTCACTGAGCATAATGTTTCAAGGCTCATCCCCACAGTAGCACCTGTTAGTACTTGATTCCTTTTTGTGGCTGAATTGATATTCCGTCGTACGGAGTACCACGTTTTTTTGTTTTTTTAAAGATTTTATTTTTATTTGAGAGAGAGAGAGGCAGCCAGAGAGGGAACACAAGCAGGGCGAGCAGGAGAGGGAGAAGCAGGCTTCCCGAGGAGCAGGGAGCCCGATGCGGGGGCGCAATCCCGGGACCCCGGGATCATGACCCGAGCCAAAGGCAGATGCCCAACGACTGAGCCACCCAGGCGCCCCCGGAGTACCATGTTTGATTTAACTACTTGTCCCCTGCTGGATACTGGAGCTTTTCCTTTCTGGCTATGATGCTGCTATGAACACGGGCGTTCAGGTTTCTGTGTGAGCATGTGTCTTCATTTGCCACGGGTCTGCACCTGGGAATGAAGCTCCTGGGTCATAGGGCGAGTGTGCTGAGCATCCGGGCTGTCAGGCTGTCCGCTGCTGCTGCACCATTTTATCGTCTGTGTGCGTACGAACATTCCGATTCCCCACAGCCCTAACACGTAACAGTTTCTTTGACTACAGTCCTAATTAGATTATGCCACACTGTGCATATTACGGCATTCACGACTCTGTGCTAAACACAAATGTATGAACACGTACTGACTCATGAAAAGCTTGAATGTTGTGCATCTGATAACTTTAATCCTAAGAGATTTTGATGTTTATTTTTTTTATTTTTTTTTAAAGATTTTATTTATTTATTTGAGAGAGAGAGAGAATGAGAGATAGAGAGCACGAGAGGAAGAGGGTCAGAGGGAGAAGCAGACTCCCCGCTGAGCAGGGAGCCCAATGTGGGACTCGATCCCGGGAATCCAGGATTATGACCTGAGCCGAAGGCAGTTGCTTAACCAACTGAGCCACCCAGGCGCCCCGAGATCTTGATGTTTAATCCTAGCTTTACCTATACAGTAATAATCAACTTAGCAGCAACTAACCCAGCCTGCTTTCTGTACTAGCACTTGGCAAACTATGGCCCATGAGCTATAAACCCAGCCAGCTGCCTTTTTTTTTTTTTCCCAGTAAATAAAAATTTTACTGGACTACAACCACACCCACTTGTTTACATACTGCGACAGGACAGAATTGAGTATTTTGGCCCACAAAGCCAAAAATATTTGATCCCCTCTTGGCTTGTTACAAAAACAAGTTCGGCAACCCCGGTTTTATACCAAAAAGCTACTATCTTTACAAACTGCTAGGAAAACTAGTGAAAAAAGTTAACGGTTACGAGCTTATCTGTGTAGAGTCTGGAAGTTCACTGCTTGACTGTTTGCCATGGCTAAGCTAAGAATTACTTTCCAAGCCCTCACAAAGTGCTAGAGCACTACATTTCTCCTACGTAGCTAAAAAGCCGGGTACCAAGCGACTGGCCATGCCTCAGTTCTGCGAATGCACGGTATTTTCCTAAAACCTCCACCTACATCCAAGGACAGCTGAACTCCTCAGTTCACAAAGCAATTATTCATTGCAAGTGAACACCATAAACAAAATTAAACAACTACTCCTCACTGAATGGACTGCTTCAAATTTTGGTTAATAACTGGTTTCAAAAGTCTAGACAATTTTATCCCAACATAATGACAGATTGTAAGTTTCCACCCACACAAGATTACAGCCTCAGCCATGTATAGGCAAGGTGCAGGTCACACGTGGTGGAGAGCTTGGGTTTTGACATGCCCCGTGGGAGAGGCCAAGGGGCCGTCCCAGTGGAGGGTGTAGTGGGCAGCTGGGGGCGGGAGGACGGCTCCCAGGGACAGGTGGCCTACACATGGAGACATCCCCAGCAGAAGGTATTTAAGGACGAGAGGGGTGGGGAGACTGAAGGACACTGCCTAGACAGGAGACAGAGTCTCGGGCAGAGAACCACAGAGAAGGAAACCTTGGGTCCCCAGAAGTTAGAGCTTTGGCAGAGGAGGGACCAGGTGAAAGGGCAGGAGATAGAGGAGGCAGAAGCTGCCACCACCAGAGCGGGTGGAGAAACCCCCCGGGGAAGCTTACCAACGCTCCAGCTGGGCTCACCATCTGGGCCCGCAGCACCTGTCCCCCACACAGGGACCTGAGGGCTGCAGACTCTCAAGGCAGGTGGCAGTGCCTGGATCCGTTTCATCTCCTCCCACCCGGCCTCCCAAGCACTGGGCATAAGGATTGTTAAGGGCAAACTCTAGAATGTAGAAAGAATGCATGTAGATAGCAACTTGGGTCTGCACTTAGTAACTACTGCTTAAATACTAGCAGTCAAATGCTTTGGTGGGGTCAGTACAAAAAGGTCGACACGTCACATGCATGCGTTGAGTTCAGAGTTGGTATTTATTCTTTCAATAAGTATCTAGTGAGCAAGTACTCTGCACAAACAACTGTGCTGGATAGTGTGTGTGTATGTGCGTGTGGGGGGGGACGGTGGGTCTTACAAGGTGGAGTTCCTGCCTTGAAGACATTTCTAGGCTTCAGAGACCAACACTTCTCAAACTGTCATATGCAGCAAATCTCCCAGGGTTTAAAACGCAGATCTGATTCAGCAGGTCCAGGGTAGGGCTTGAGCTTCTGCACTGTTTTCAAAGATTTTATTTATTTGAGAGAGAGAGAGAGAGAGAGAGAGAGCATGCAGCAGAGGGAGAGGGAGAAGCAGGCTCCCTGCTGAACAGAGAACCTGGTGCGGGACTCGATCCCAGGACCCTGAGATCATGACCTGTGCCGAAGGCAGACGCTTAACCCACTGAAGCCACCCAGGTGCCCTGGCCTGTATTTTGAATGGTTTTCAGAAATACACATTTACAAGGTACAATTCATTCCGTCACCGATTTTTCAGGACAGAATTTTATTTTACCTTTCAACAGTTATGCATTCCAAGTGGAAACAACTGAAATGTCCATCAAGAAGTAAACGCATAATGAAAATGTGGTCCATCCATACAATGGAATGTAGGTCAGCCTTAAAAAGGAAGGACCTTCTGACACCTGCTACCACATGGATGGACCTTGAGGACGGCACGCGCAGTGAAATACGCCACCACGGAAAGACAGGGACTGTGTGATTCCGCTCATATGGGGGACCCAGAAGAGGCCAATTCACGGAGACAGCACCTCGAGTAAAGGTCAGCAGGGGCCGGGGGAGTGGTAATTATGGATTTGTGGGTACAGAGTTCCAGTTTGGGAAGATGAAAAACTCCCGACAACGGTTGAAGGTTGCACTACGCGAATGTCGTCAATATCACGGAGTCAGACACTTGAAAGTGGTTCAAATAGTGAAGTTTCGTGTTACGGTACATTTAGTGTGATCACACCTTCCTGAGTATCTAACAAGAAAAGGATTGTGAGCCGCTACAAGAGTGTAAGTGTCCTCCCTACAGTGAGTGCTTCTGAATTTCAGTATTACGAGGAAGTCTTGAGGCAAAACCACCATGATGAAGGCCCCGCAGGGTCGCAGGGCCGGTGTTGAAGGCAGCACGCCCTGCGGGGACACATCACCGGGATCTGGCTCGGCTACCACCGGGTGGGCTTTTCAGTCTCATCCCCACAAACCCTTCTAGGAACCAGTTCTGTGAGACTCTTGTGAACCACGGTCATCTACTCTGGCTTCACCACGAAGATCTGTGAAGACTCCTAAAGTCTGTCCTCTATAAATGAAGACTGCACTGCAAAGCATCCTTCTGCCTCGCCCTAACCACAATCCACCTACACATCCCAGAAAAAACAGGTGTGGGTTTGGGAGATAAAGTAGCTGGGTTTTTAGCCACCCGTTGGCTTCCTTGCCAAGAGAAAGTTTCTCTTTGGTATTTATTGTGCTTACGGGGAAAGTAGCTATCAAAGAAAAAGCAGCTGTGAAAACTTCCCATTCTATACTTCCCCACCACCCCCAAACCTTAGGTAGGATTCCTGAGGTTTTGAACTTGGTGAAGAATAAATCTGACGTCCGCGTTCACCAAGGAGGACAAGGACGCCACCTGCCAGCATTTTACAGTAAATCACACATGTGACATTGATGATCACCCCATCACGGTGCCTGGGACTACTACCCGGCCGAGGCGACAGCCTAACATCTGCAGAACGTGGGGGCCAC